ACTTATATTACCATGACCTAATACTGTCACAAACACTTCTGGCCTGGGATGTTTGCTTGTCATAAAGTGAACTGAGCTGTGGGTAAAATGATGTGGAGAAATACCCCAGAGGCTGTGGCCATCCTGGGATCTCAGAAGGAAGGTGGGAGGACACTTTAGTTTTGCATTGTTTGAGGATCTGAATTGTTTGCCAGCGTTGAGTTCAAGCTTATTTGTGAAAAGCAAGAAAAGATGAAAGAATTACCTAATCACAGTTATAAAGTAATGTTGATGCAAATTTGGTGAAGGTGCCCAGTGAGAATCATGACTGAAAATCTCTGGTTAAGACATCCTTCAAATAAGTGTGTAAAAAATGAAGTAGATCTCGAAGGTGTGTGTAAGGGAATGGTATTTCTGGACAAGATGCTGGCCTTCTGTGCCAGTCCATACTGGGATGAACAGGCAGGCAGCCAAGCTCTTTTGTTTTTAGGGATAAGCAGTGTTAACCTCACCACACCTCAGTTCCTGCTCCAGTGAACTTGTGGCTTGATGTTTTAATTGACTGGTCAGGAACCAGCCTGGGAAAGGTTTCAAGGGCCCTCTGTCCTTTTGATCAGTGATCAGAATCCCCCCAATGTATCCCATTCCTGCATATCATCAAAGCTGCAGAATGAAAATTACAGCCCAGTTAATACATATTAAATAGTGGTTCTTTAACAGATGGGAAACCATAAACAGTTTCCTAAGATATATAAACAAATTAAAGAGAACTTCCAGCTCTGACATCCTAATAGGCTGCGATGGATAATTTGGCATCACAACAATCTCTCTGTCATGAGAGGGAGCCTTGGGATGAAATTGCTCTTTGAAGGAGTTATTTAGTAGCTTTCCTGTCAGATTATCTGGTTTATGGAGGACAGTGAAAGGTCTCGCCAGGCAAGTTTATCTCACTTGGCTCCTGAGGCTCTGTCCTGTCACCAAGATCATTACCATGATACCGTGACTGAGCTCTGTTCCTCTGTTTTTCATAAAGAAACACAAGGTCTGGCTCATCTCCCACAAAATAACATCAGTACAACAGGGGAAGGGCTCAGTTGTGTGGTGAAGGAAAAAAACTATTAGCCTCTTTTATTATGGCTTGGTTATTTTCTGTAATAACAATTTCCCAAAGCAAAGTGTAATTACCTGGGGGGAAAAAAAAAAAAAAGACAGTTGTAATTGCCTATTACTCACCAGTAATTAATTACAATCAGTGGCAAGAATAAATCCTTGAAAATGAGGCTTTCCTCACGTATGGACATGATTCAGTTGCAGGCTGCAACTCAAATAAGCAGTGATTCATGGCGCAGGAAGTTGGAATTCATTAGAGAATTCCTGGTCTGTGACAGCCACCCTGTTTTGGAAAGATAATGGCTACAAACAGTGGTGCAATAGATCCATAACCAGGTTTTTCCCCTTTCTCCAGAAACTGTTGCAACAGTGCAGAGCTTTAGGCTGAGCACCCTTTGCACCCCTAATAATCCCTGAAGATGCTGTCTTGGGAATAATCTAGCCATTTAAAAGAAAATATTGGTATTTAATTAAACTTGTCAATCAACCAGAAATGAGTTTTCCTTATCAAGAGGAGCTGGATTCGATTTTCCCACTTGCAAACGAAGGTTAAAGACTCTTGTAGAATAAAATTGTAATTAAGAAAGGAGATTTGGATTAACATGTGAGACAGTGAGAGAATGAAAGGTCCTCGGAAATCATCTGAGTATGATTCACAGGAAGAGAGGAACCTAAATATGGGAACAGATTTATTTATTTATTTATTTAAAGCAAAGAAAAGCTATATGGTGCTAAAGCTGATGGGTAGGAGAAGCACAGGAGGGATTTTTATGAGGCCAGGAAGCCTCTATTCAATCCACTTTCCCACTCTTGATATTTAGTCATTTCAGATAGTCAAAGTCTGGTCAGAAAGTACATACATACACTGTGGGGCATTAAGAAATCCTCAGGATTTGAATGCTTGACTCTTATAGATTTAGACAGCAGAGGAAAAAATGGCTTTTCTGAGAGATTTGAAAAAAAGACTTTCTGGTTGTGTTGGTGACACACCAAGGTTGGTGTCTCAGGGATTCACAGAAAAATAATTTTCATTTTTATTTTCTTTTGAATAGTTTTATTTTATTCAGTGTTGTGCGGGAAACATATCTGTTGTCACTCCAAAATTCTTCCAGCTGGGGGATGTTGAAATCTATGTTCCGAATTCTTGGGTATTTCTACAATGTGCTCAAAAATACAGTTTTCCATGGAGCAAACTGGCAAATACCATGAAATCTCATAAGAATGTACTGAATGGCCCATGTCAGTGGAAAGTACTTCACATGTTGCCAGAGATATTTTGAGGCAGAAACGATTAAAAAAAATTCCAAATCCCAAACTCCCAAACAAATAATTTCCCATCCACTTAGAGTTCCTTACTGCTTCCCTCTGAAAAAATTACAGGAATCAAACCCAACAGATATAATTAATCCCATATTAGCAACATGAGAGGATGCTGCCAGAGCAGGCAGGGGAAGGTGTGCCACCAGCACCCTGACCACTGGGACATTGGACTGGAAGCTTTCTGCCACACTGAGGACTTGCTTTTAAACTTTCTTCTTGTAGTATTCTTCTGCTCAGTCATTGGTTTCTCCATTGACTACATTGCCATACCAAAAATCATGTTTTTTCCTAATCTGTCTGCCTGGACATATTTCTGGGTGTTTGTTTTGTACCAGTATAAAATTTGCCTGTCAAAAAGCTACAGGAAATATTCAGCTTTACAGCTGAGAAAATTGTTGGTCATTTGTTGTGATCTAACCTAGAAGAAGGAATTTTTCCCTGCAGAAATTATGCTTTAGTGGTGTTAGTGGACACTTTATCCCAGGGCTGTTTTTTGAACACTTCCAGGGACGGTGATCCCACCATTTCCCTGGGCAGGGCATTCCAATGCTTGACCACCCTTACCATGAAGAAATCTTCCCTAATATCCAATCTCAGTTCCCTGAGGCAACTTGAGTCTGTTTTATCTTGTCCTATCTCCTGTTACCTGGGAGAAGAGACCAACCTCACCTGGCTCCCCCCTCCTGTCAGGGAGCTGTAAAGGGTAAGAAGGTCCCCCCTGAGCCTCCTTCCCTCCAGGCTGAGCCCCCCCAGCTCCCTCAGCTGCTCCTGGTGTTCCAGACCCTTCCCCAGCTCCGTTGCCCTTCTCTGGGCACATTCCCATTCCTCTTGCTAGATGTTTCTTCTTCATATGTAAACCCTGGAATTTAATCCCACAGCCTAAACAACAGCCATTAATCTGCAGGCACATACAGACCTTCCTTCTTGACTCACATTTGCTTTCCTTTGATGATTGTTTTAGATGCATCTGTGTTTGCTTTAGGACCCAGACCAGAGCTATGTACTCTTAGCATTTGCTGGGGCTCATCCTGAGGTCTTCCATGTGTTGTTTTCACTAACATCCTGGTTGTATCCTGCAGAAAAAAATAAATATCCAGCATTGGAAATACCATGTGTCCAGCAGGATCATACATCTGTATTATACAGCCCAGCAGTGGGGTTCCCTTTTTCTGGGAACTCTTTGTACTGGGAAAAGTAGTGCCAAGGCAGTGAGATTGATTTATGTCACCAATAGAAACCAAACACTCGTGGCAACATTTCACAAACAACAAACAGCTCCAAGGGCCTTGGTATGGAGGTGACTAATGCTGCTGTCCCTGAGTCCCCACAGCTCCCTCCCTCTGGGAACAGGCACAGGGAACAAAGTCTGGACATGCTGTGCCACCCTGAATGGGGTCAGGGACCAGGTTGGGCTGGTCATCCCACCTGCAAGTCTTAACTTTGAGTGTGGTGGTGAATGAAGTGACCCGAGATATTTTCAGGAAGCAAAGGAACACAACAGATTAAAGGATGTAGAGTTTTTTTTAATAAAATAGCTAAAAGAACCTCCCTGCCAGTAACCTGGGAAAGTAAATGTGGGGGCACACACTCATCCTGTTCCTGCAGTCAGGTTTTGGTGGTCCTCAGACGTGTGGTGGTGGCTGCAGCTGCCCACAGGCTCCCAGGGTAGTTAAACCCTCAGTGGCCACTGGAGCCTTTCTTACATTTTTACATTAATCCACTTTGTCTCACTGCCAGGATGATATACATTTTCCCCATCCTCATTTTCCTCATCCTGGCTGTTCCACCCTCAGAGTTTTAATCCCCCTGTTAGTCCCTGTGTCCTTTGCCTATATGACTGGACTCATGCAAGGCTTTTTTGAGTGGTTTTGCCTCCTACTATTGATCCTAATCCAGCTGCCTGGGAAAAAAAAAACTCTGCAAGTCCAATGTGTCTGGACTTGCATTGCAACAAATGTCTCTGCACCACCAGAGAGGATCAGATCAAAGTGCACATCCCGGGCCAGGGCTCCTTCCCAACTTGCTGCTGTGAATTAATGCACCGTGTATAGACACTGAGCTCTGCCTGACTCAGCCAAGATGTGGCGTCTGCATCTCTGAGAACACCACATGTGTTCATTGCATTTAATACAGTCACATCTTAGCTTATAATATGAGAGATCAAACCCTTCCAGGTGAGCAGGGAGCAGCAGGAAGGAGCTGTTTGCTGGCGGTTTCCGCTCCCTGTGCCGAGCGGTGTCTGTTGTGCAGCCAGGGCTCGGATCTGCCGGGTCCCTGGAGCCTCTCAGCTCTGCACATGGAAGGGGTGGGCAGGGCTGTCTCCTCCTGGCCGGATCAAAGACCTGTGAACATCTGCTGGGGGGTCAGTGCAGCCCTTCTTCTCCACCTCGGCCCCGGCACGAGCTCCGTGTGCAACCACAAACCCAGCCACGCATCAGGAGGATATCCCCGAGATGGGAAACATAAGGATTTAAGTGACAGGTGTGGGTTGGGGAAGCTTTACGCAGCCAAAACTTCAGAGCACAAAGAAGCACCTTTCTTCTCTGGGTGCTTGTATTTGATCATCTTTTTTTTTTTTTTTTTGAGGTTTGAAATTCCCGCAGGATTTTCCGCTTGAAGCACAAGGGTGAAAGAACAGCACCTAAACAATCCTTTTGTTTGCTATGCCTGTGCTGATGGAGAGGTCAAGGATCTAATTCACTGGATGGTGTGATTGCCACAGCTATAATAATTCCAGAAGGGGATGTAAGCTATTAACCATGCCGAGGTAGGAAATCCAGGGATCAGGAGTTAAGTGGGTGTATTAAACATTTTACTTGAGGTTCAGATGTCACATGGAAGAACACAGAGCCTTGAAGTGACATCCAGACCAGCTGATGGCTTGGATGGGGCCCCAGGCAATCTGATCTAGTGGGTGGCACCTCTGCCCATGGCAGGAGATTGGAACTTGAGATCTTTAAGGTCCCCTCCAAGTCAAACCATTCTGTGATTTTATAGTTCTGTGAAGAAACCAGTTTGCACATCCCTGGAACCACGTTGATCGCTCCAACAGGGAATGTGGCACTTCCAGGTGTTGTTGCAGGAAAGGAAAATAGCCGTTGCAAGAGGCCTATATTCAGCATTTCTGGTTAGAACAGCATGAAAAGAACAGATTTCCTCTCTCTCAAAAACCTGAAGAGAACTAAGTGGCTTTTGCAAAATGGTCACCAAGAAGCCTACAGAGAGAAATTCAGCTCAAGAGAAAATCCACAGGGTAAAATCATGACCCAGTGAAGGCAAAGGGACAGTAAAAGGAAGGTGTATTTGAGCAGTGTTACACACTCATGTGCCAGAGGCTTTTCTCCACTTCTGAGGCAGCAAAAAGATGGTTTTAGCATTTTCTGACATTAATTGAAAATGCACTAGTGGCTGAGAGCAAACATTAGCTCTTGGTCTTGAGAAATTTCCTTTGCCACAAACATAATTGCAATACAAACTGAAACACCCAAATAAATGTTAGAACGTTTAAAAATCACAAAGCCTTCCCTTTTTCCACTTTTCTTCTGCAACAAATTAAAAGCATGAGAAATTTCCCCCGAAGACACAAACATTAAGAAATCATTCGGCAAATGACTTTTTTTTTTCAAGTCTGGCATCTCTAGCCTGGGGAGAGCTTTGGAAAGGTCACAGGAATTAGTCCCATGGACTGCCTCTCTTCAAGCCTAGGGGGGTAAATCTGTGGATCTGGGGCATGGTGGTTCTGGGCTGGCAAGGACAAGAAGGCAGATTGCAGGAATGTTGCCTGTTCTCTGCCAGGTGAGTTGTGCCACCTCCTCACCTTCAGCACGTGCAGAGATACCTTTGCTCCAGGAGGCACCTGAGAGTGTGTTTAAGTCTCATTGCACAGGAATGTAAATCCTTTTCCTAGAGATCTCTCCTGAACAGTGGCCAGGAATGATGACATGAGCTTGTTGTACTGACTTGGGACAGAGACAGGAGCACACCCTGAGTGCCAGGAAGCCTGGGAGTGCCAGCAAGTCTGGCCCCTCAGGCTCCCGTGCTCTGAGGATGGACAGACTCTGCCCAGCAGGTCAGAAGGAGGCAGCAGGTTTCACACTCTGCCTTCTCAGCACACATCCCACAGCTCACAGCACCAGCCTTGGCACATTCCCCTTCAGCAGGACAAAATTGGATATGCAGGACAGACAAGAACCAAGGTGTTCAAAGCTCACTTTTAGCAGGCTACGTGCAGATCATGGAGCTCATCTTTAGGTGCCTGAGTTTAAAATAAAATCTTTATGTGTACCATAATCTCTTCTGAGCACAATAATTTCTTCTCAGAGGCAGAAGGTCCCTCCTGTTTCAGTCAGAGAGACCTGTGCAGATTCTGCATCCTTGTGCCTCTAAATTATCTCTCTCTCACAATAAACATGGGGATGTGCAGACACATTTTTATCTTTACTTCTCCTGGGTGCTAAGCTAAGGACCCAAGAGTACTGTGTTTTGTGAAAGATCAAGTGTTGCAGTGTGAGAAATAAAATACCCAGCCCTAAGGCATTGCTCATTGTCCCCTTCTTGGTGGTGGCTGGCTCTTTGTTGTTGCTGTCAGACATTAAAATGCTGCTGGGATTGGTGTCCCTCAGATTCGGGACTGGTGTCCCTCAGAATCCCAAACACATGTGGGGTTCCCTATGTTAAGTGAAATTTTTATGGGGAAAATATTAAGATGAAGTATTACGTGTCCAGCCACCAGAAAGAATATTCCGTGCCCAGAAGGAAAAAGAAGGGTCATTTCAAATAAATAATTGCCAGACTTTGTATCATCCATAAACCCACATATTCTCCACGGGACAAGGGTGGAACTGTAATCCCCCTGAGAGTGACAAGTGTGGTCTTCCCAGGGCAGGCAAACGTGGGCCCAAGTTTCCTAAAAGTCATCTGTTTTGCCATTTATGGCTTCGTGTGAGCTTGAAAAACTGTTGCAGCTGTTTTCACCCCCGTGGACTTGCTCTGCCACATGCTTAGGGAGGATGGCCCGAGTGAGGCTGAGAGCCAGGGGTGTGCCACCAGGGCTGCCACAGATGGCCACCAAGCAAGGCACAAGGTGGAATATTTTCCCATAACCCCCAGCTTTGAGATTCTTTCTCATTTCCCCTCCAGGCAGGAGCTGGAATCTCAGCATATCACACTGGGTGTAACCTACAGAAACTCCCTCCCCAGCAGATGAAGTGAGTCAGTCCAGGTGTTACGTGGACTTCGAAGCCTCCTGGCCTAGGAGGACCTCCCTTCTTGACTGAACAGAAGAAAAACATGAAGCAGAACCAAAAAACCCCTGGCCCTCACTGCAGGCAGAAGGGAAATGTCACAGGCCCACGAGTCACTGCAAAAAAACAGGTAAATAAATAAAAAGTCCAAAGCTGCCTTTTATTTTCTGGTGGAGCAAGACAGAATCAAGTGTCTGTGCAACCAAAGAGTGAAATGGAGTTTGAGCAAAACTAGTTTTATATCCATTCACACTAAAGAACGGATTTAAGTTCAGCCAAGGTCTTCTAGCTCTCTAACAGCACTGATTTCCACTCAGGGAGAACAAATACAGCTTTGCTCACATAAGAATAATAATGTCTCAGTCTTTTCTCGAGCAACTTTGCCACACATTAGCCAGAGGGAGGGAGCTAAAGCTTGTGATGGAAATAACTCTCATCAAGAACAAGTGCTTGAGGGGCTTAGAAATGTGATTTTATTAACTTTCTGTCAGTTTTCAGTGCAGGATAAATGTCCACTTAAGAACATTAGCGATGCCTTCCCCCAGAAGAGACATTTGCAGGACTTTGCTCTTCCCAATCTTCTCACCAGCTGCTTGGTAAAAGAACACGCAGTTGGAAGGGCTGTGAAAGGATGGAAGAGGAGGCAATGTGCACCAAACCTGTCAAGGGCTGTATTTCAGCTCCATTTGCACCAAGATTTGAGGAGCTGATGCCCAGAGCAGGAAGGGGAACAGCATTCAGGGCAAGGAGGGGCTGTGAGAAATCCCAGGGTGGAGCAGGCACTCACTGGACAGTTCAAATGGTTTGTTTTGAGAAGGAAGCAGGAGCCTTGTTGGCACATCAGGGATGCAGCAGCTCACAGCTGGGAGTGCAGGGTTTGGCACAGCACGGACAGAGACAGATCCCACCTGCAGGAACAAGAGTCAGGTGTGAGGAAAAAATGGTTTTAACAGACTGAGCTTAACACTACTGAGTTAGAGCTTGTATCAAAGCTCACCGAGAGCCTGGACACTGGGAGATAGGGACAGTCTGTTCATTTATTATGCACTTAATTGATTCATTTCCTGGCTGAAAGAATAAAATGGGTCCTGAATCCCACTGGGGGTTCTGGGTGCTGTAACTGAGCTCAGCATTCAGGACTTTCAGCTTGAAGATTGTGCCATCAGTCTGTAAAATTTACATTTAATTAATGCTTAATGCTCCCCACTCTGGGACAGGGTGGTGCCCCAGGAACAAGGGTAAAATATCTCCTCACAGCACCTTTGGAAGCAGGATCTGGGACATAATGTCAATGCACCTGATGACCTCCTGTGCCACAGTCAGGAGATCTTCTCTTGGTACCAGCTCCACGTCCCCATCTCCTCTCAACAGCAGAGGTTTTGTATTCCCGGGTGTGTATCTAGAAAATAATCCATCCTTGCTAAATTTCCAGAGGGCCCACTGTGATGGGAGAACCAGGGCTGTGGGGAGAGGACAATCCTTGGTCTGTCCCCACACAGGGACCACAGAGGGAAGGAAGGGTTTTAACCCCCTGAATTCCCTTCTGCCTTGGTAGAACACCCTGCTTTTGAAATACTCTTCTGACATTCAAAGCCCTTCATCTGTTTATTTTTAACAGCTAACATTTTCTGAACTTAAATGTCATCTCAGCTGGATTCCCAGAGCTTAAATCATTCTGGTCCCATAACCACTCTTTTATGCTTTAGCACATATTTTGAATTAGCTAAATAAGATTTCACTGGGCTGTCAGTGACTGTCGGTTGTGATGCTTTTGACTTCCAGTTGCAAAATGTGTGCAGGTTCAAGGGGCAGCAGAGTAAGGATATTTAGAGTGTGAATTAGACTTTTAATAGACAAAAAATACTCAGAAGATGGGACTCATAAATGACTTTAGATATGCAGCCATAATTATTACATGCATTCGATTCCTGTATACATATATAGGGATTTTTAGGAGGCTGGTTTCCATGGTAACTTCTTTACTGCATTGTCCATATGTTGCTTCTGAAATTCTTTTTTCCTTAATGGAAAATTACATCCATGGACAAGGATGGCATTTGTAAATCTCCCAAAAAAGCAGTAATTTTCTTCCCAAACGTCATCAGCTGTGTAATGGAAGTCTTTGAAGTTTGATTCTCCCCCCTTGTCAGTTCACCAAGCAAGAGACGTGAACTGCATCCAAACCTTCCCTCCCTGCCTCCAAACCTTTGCCTTGCCTTGCTGGAATCCTGCCTGGCTGCAAATTCCCTGACTTTGCCACGGGTGAGTGTGAACTCACTTCTCTGGGAGTGGATGCATTTGGACTGGAATGGCTTCACACAGCCAGAGGGCAGGGTCAGATGGGATATTGGGAAGGAATTCTTCCCTGGGAGGGTGGGGAGGCCCTGGCACAGGTTGCCCAGAGAAGCTGTGGCTGCTCCAGCCCTGGAAGTGTCCAAGGCCAGGTTGGAGCAACCTGGGCCAGTGGAAGGTGTCCTCATGGTGGGGGAGTTGAAACGAGATGGTCTTTTAAAGTGCCTTCCAACCCAACTCCTTCTATCATTCTATGAAAGGAAAACAAGATTTCCAAATGCAGAAAGGAAACTGGTTCTGAAAATTGCTGTGGAGCAGGATTGTTGTCTTCCCTGTAGCTCAGTGTGTCAAAGGTGTACAAGCCCAAAGAGCTGGGGAGCAGAATCAGCTCAGCTCCAGGTGCCTGCACAGCTGGGAACACCAGCTCTGCTCCCAGGGCAGCAAATTAGAGCCACCCATAGGCACACCAGTACTTTTTGATGTGTTTTTTGTTGGTTTTAAACCTTCAAACAGTTATTTCAAGGTTTTAGCATTCCTCTATTCATCTCTTGTGGATGGGGAAAAAAAAAACAAACCCAAACTCAGCTACCTGCACTGTTGCAACCAATTGCTTGGCCTGGTCTGTTTTTGAAGTTTAAGACAAGGGATTAGGAATCCACAACAGAAAACTCCAGCACTGGGGCTCATAGAGCAATTCCCTGAGCCAGGAGCCAGACTGGCCTGTCTGGTGTGTCCACGCTCAGACTGTGCCTCAGCATTTCATTGCTGCCACCAGCCACGAGCACAGGCACATCTGTAAAATATGGATTTCACCGAGACTGGATTAAGGGTGGATTTAACTTTGTGTATTTGAAGTTTACCAAAAACCCAGAGACATTTAAATGCATTTTTAACCTCATTTTTCCCAGCAATTTCTGATTAACGGCTCTGGCTTGGAAGCAACTGCCTTTATATACCTAAAGAGTCCATGAATGCTGGCTTTGCAGAAACCTTGCACAGCTGCACTTCTGTTTTACATTGGAAAGGTTTGACACCTCAGCAGTATAAAGTTATAGGTTTTATCCCTAAAACTTCCCAAATGCAGTTTCCATTATTAACACGATTGTGACAGCCATAGTTTGTTTATATTGCCTCACCTGGGGCACATAAACTTAAAGGACTGAAAATACCTCCCTGCAATAAAAGAATTTTATGTAATTGCTACCTCTTGCTGTAAGGGACAGCTGGCCTTTGAAAGTTGGGAACTCATTTACGTCACTGAAGGAAAATGTAAGCCTGGGGTTTAAATGACTGTAATTTATGTTTCTGAAGCTCAAAATATAAATATGGTTTCCAAAGGGCAAATACCTTTCCAAACAAACTAATACTCATAATTCATCTTGGAGAGTGGATATGTCTACAGTCTCCTTATGGGAGGCTTTCAATGGCTGTGGTTGTTTCCTTTTGATACTTATTTTCTTATTATCTCTGGTTTGCTATTCCCAAGGTTGAAATTTCTACTGACACCTTCCTAATTCAGCTGTTTTCAGTGTTTCCCATCCTCATCCCTGTGCAGTCACCAGGGACTCATCCCAAAGATGCCACCCATTGTCGGGGGGGCTCTGACCAGTCCAGCCCACCAGGTATATGTGGCAATGTCTGGTCACCAAAGTCTCTTTTTAGAGCACTAAAAATGACTAATTTATTGTGGCTGGACAAAAATCAGTGAGTGGAATAGCCAGAAATCACCCTGCAGTTCTTGTGCTGAGGATTTTTTTGTCACTCTCTCTCAGCATGTGTCTGAACATCATTTATATGTTTTGGGTTTAGGGCCCTATTCCAAACAGCTGTTGCTTGTTTAGCTGTTTAATTTTTTTTTTTCCTTGTTTTTAATTTATAACACTGAAAATCTCCCTGGAATGGACTGACACCAGAAATGTTTGTTCTACTCTTCGGAGGGAAGCACCCACCCATGGTCCATGCTTTTGTGATTTACAAATTCACCAACATTTATTATGGCATTGCAAAACAACAGTGACAAAAAGAAATTCAACCACAGCTCCCTCACAGCAAATTCCAGGCTCTGCAAGCTTGTATCCCATCATCACAGGGGAGCCTGCATCCATTTGGATGGTTTATTTCCAAATCTCATTTCTGGTATGATCATGCTCTGCCTTGGCTCCATCCAGAGTTTGTCATTTGCTTTTAATATATGTTCAGATATAGCCATGACATAAAAACAATTAATCTCATTTTCATAGTTTTCAGGAGTTTGGTTGTGCTCGGTGGAGAGGAGCAAATGGCAGATTTTCTCAGTCTTGGGTTGTGTAAGTGTGAACACTGAAATCAGGTTTCTAGTGCAAGGAGACCATGGCAGGTGAATCCAAATTTCACCTGAGCACTGTGTGGGTGAACTGGATTACTTCCTTAAAAGCACATTTTTGGGCAAAAGTGAGCACAACTGCAGACAAAGTATATCCAGTTAAATGAGGCTGGATATTCAGGTCCTCCTTGTGTTTTGCTGGAGCTTTATTTAATGGATTAGCCCCGGTGTTTGGGAATGCTGTGGCTCACCAGGGACCTGCTGTGGGACAAAATGTTCCTTCTCCATGGAGGTTTTCCCCTGTCATGCAGAGATGTGGGCACACACACACAGAGGGAGGGAGGCAGGCGGGATCCTGGCTGTGACACAAGCCCTCAGCACTTCGCAGGCTGACCCTTGATGACGGATTATTGTCCCTTCAGAACCATAGTGGGAGAATTGAGGCGGGAATTTGGGAAAAACACAGAAGTGGCTTTAGCAAATGTGCTCAAGCCCTGCTCCCCAGTGAGCAGGGGAGCCTGAACGCAAGCCCAGTCCTTCCTTCCCAGCACAAGTGCAGCCCCCGGGATGTGCCGTCATGTCCCGGGAATGTGCTTCCTGGACACGCTGCATCCACCTCCCTCCGGCTCCATCCACCTCCCTCCGCTCGCCGTCCCGGGGCTGCCGGGACCGTCCCTCTCTCCGGGCTGGCTGAGCTGCAGGGACACCCCGCGCTGGGAGGCACAGAAGGACCAGGAACAAGGGGCTCGACCCTTTTTCACGTGAATTTTTGGAGGAGCAGAGCTGCTGCAGTGGGGGATAGTGGGTGTGTCAAAACCTCGCAGCCCGACTGATGCCGGGATGCCCCGAGGGCAGCTATGGACCCAATTCCAGCTGCACCATCAGAACTCTGCCAGTGTTAAAAGAGCAAACCTGGGTGAAGGCCAAATGTTTCAAGGAGCTGCTGCACCCACGGGTAGTTCCCTGGCAGGAAAATCACAGATGCCAAATCACAGGATCCCAGAATGGCTTGGGTTGGAAGGAATTTTAAAGCTCTCCCAGTTCCATGGGCAAGGTCACCTTCCACTGGACCAGGTTGCTCAATGAAGAATATATTCCTTAAAATAAATGGAATGGTGAACTGAACCATCCAGTGTGAACCACTGGTCTCTGCCATGTGTGCAGAGAGGTGGTGATGGAGTTGGCAACCCAAAAAGCAATTTCCTTTCTCACTCCCCTTCCAGGGCTGGATGTCACAGGATGCAATGGAAATTTAATGTTTCTAAGAGGACACTGTAATGAGGAGGTTTTCCCTTCCCACTGATGGGACTGATGGAGGTGACTGCCACAATCAGGGACTGCTATCAAGGTCCAGACAAGTATTTTCCAGTCCTCTGGTACCTTTTCTTCTCTACCTGCTCAAAAACAGCTGCAGATGCTGAGATTTTAAAGCCCAGCCCTTAAGATGTAACGTAGTTGAAATGTCCATAAACACCTTGAGTCTCTTTAGGGATGTCTGTGCTTGCCAAAGTCTGCAGCTCACTGGTGTGTCTCATTATTCGTGGTGCTTCCCCCTCCTGCAGCCCATGATTATGTGTGAACTGCAGGAAAAAAAAAGCATTTAAAGACTTCAGTACAACCTCAATGCCTTAACTGAAAAAGTAGTTGAAGAAACTCTAATTTAATAAAAAGGTTGAAAATCTTTGATATTATTTAAGATGACCTCAAGACTTGGAACCTGTCTTGAACTGCAGCTTTTTTCCAGCATTGGCTGGAAAAAAAAATCAGATACTGAATGATATTGAAATATTATCTGAATGTTTTTTCCTTATTCTTTTATATTAATAACCCAAGAGCACCAACTGCTCAGCTGAAATCTGAACAATAATCACCAGATTCTGTGTTTTATGACTGAAATAAATCTGATTAGAAAACAGGAAAAAAAAGTCAATAAAACTAGCGGCACGATTCACCAGAATGAAAATTCACTGATGGAAATAGGTTGCTTATAGGAGTCAAATTCTGGTTTTGAGTAGAAATACATATTGCACAGCTGACCAGGAATCCACTAAAATGGATCCAGGCTATTAATCAGCAGATATCTTCTCTCTGTGTGTGTGTATGTTAAGAAGATGACAAGGTACTTGATCTAGAAGAGTTCCAAGGGTATATAAAAGGCAATATTTTCTTGGATTTTGACCATAACAGAAATTAATTTTCTCTTCTTTTTCAGGGCTGGTGTCCCACGGTGTGGTTTGTCCTTGCTCTGCCCACAAAAGTGCTCAGGAGCAACAACCCACCCCCAGATCGTGGGGATCCCTTTCTCCTTTCTCCAGCGAGGTTATTCCTGTCAATACCAAACAAGAAGAGACACTTATCATTTTAGGGACTTTTCCACCATTTATCTTCCCACTCCCTCTCTCCCCTGCACAGGTGTACACTTGTTCCAGTCACTTTTCTCCAGGGGCAGAACCTGTTTTCCTGGGGGACAGGAATGCTGACCCGCCTGCCTTCTGCTTCGAGCATCCATCACACCCAGCCTCTGTGTCCCCTGGAGTCTTAATTTTCCTCTTGACAGCAAAGACAAATGAATCCCCCAGGGCTCTTTGCTCATGTCTACTCAAGGATTCTGTGACATTTCTTGAAGATGTCCTGGTTTTTAAACACACAATGAGTTTTCTTTCCACTGCCACCTACTACTGTGAAGGTGGAGAGAGATTTGCTTCAAGAAAACCTTATGGTGCCAATCCCTGCCACATCCTCTCTCTCTGCTTTCTGCTCTGGGCTGCTTCTGCTTCCCAGATGTTGCCAGCTGTAATGCTTTTCCTGTATTTAGGGTTGTCCTGCACAGATACAGTGACACTTCATTTTGAGGTGGAACAACCAAAAGAAAATATATTTTATTTTTCAGTGTTTTTTCAATCCAAGTTTTTCCCAACTCACCCTGAAATCTGACTTTTGGCTTCCCCAACACCAAACCACCAACTCCCAAATGGTGGGAAGTATTCCCATGAATATTCTCCAGTCTCTAGGATTAGCTCACTCTCTCTGACCTCCATGACCACAACATGAGAGGCTGGGAGCTGCTGTTTGAATCATCATCAAACCAAAGGCAAGGGGTGGTTTGTGTGTTGTTTGGGGTGATAGTTCCACTGGGTTGTTCCAGGTGATACAAGGAAACACGTGACACTGGGAACATTTGCTGTCAGGACAGCACATAGGAATCACCCACTTTGCCAAAAGACAGTTGGACAGATAATCTCCCTCATATTAATTAATTTTAGACTTTTAATAGCTTTTAAGGCTTTTTTTGGTGCCTTATTTCTAAGATATTTCTGGAAATGACAGCCATGTTTGTAAGAGTCTCAAAGACAACTTCTGTCCCTGTTCTGGGAACAGAGCAAAGCGATGGTCACCCACCTGCCAGCCCCTCACAGGTAGGTTATCCTCTGCAAAACAGCACCTTGAACAAAACTCTCCTTCTCTCCAGCCACATGGAATGGACTTGAACTCCACATCCCCCCTGGGGAGGCAGGTAGGCAACAAAAGGAACCAGGAGCTGGTTTTGTTATTGAAATCTGCAGGGAAATAGGGACAAAGCAGCTTCAATTCCCCCATTTTCTCATTTTGGAGAGCTTGCCTTTGCAATACAGCTTTTTAATGTTATCCTTGATAAAAATGTCCTTCCCTTCATTCCCCTACTCCCAGAGAAAGCTCCCTGCAGTATCACACATGGAGATTGCACTGGGAATACAGAACACCCTGATCTGCAAGGAGCACTGCCAGCCCTGGCTATGGTCAAACCCCACAAAAAACAAAGGCACTCTCTGGCCAGATGCATTTGGATTTTGAGAGAGAGAAGAACGTGGTCGCCACTTTCCAGCTTCTCTTGGCACAAGGATTTTCCAGTCAGCCAGGACATCCTGAGGATGGGAAGCAGCACAGGACCACCTGTGTGCTGGCTGTGCTCAGCAGCTGACACGTCCCTCCGAGCACCAGCCTTTCCAAACACAGCCCTGAGGTTACACAAAGTGGATTTGATCCCACCTTGGTGACCCCAGGGCTGCCAGGAGACCTTCTTCTGCATCGGAACGAGCTCCTTGTTCACATGAATCATAGAATGGTTTGGGTTGGAAGGGACTTTTAAAGGTCATCTAATCCAACCCCCAAATGAAAATGCTGCAGTCTGGGCACGCTACCCTACAAACTCTCTGTTGAATGCAATAATCACACTCTGGATAGCTCTCAGTTACTCTGCAAAGGGAAAAAGAAACCTCTCTAAAACCCACTGCTTTGTCCTTTTACCGTTTCTGTACGTGGTGCTTAACATATATTGAATAATTTAAACAATCCACACGCCATAACACGCCCTCGAATGTTTAGTTGAGCGTCCCCAAAATTTGCTTTGCATGTTTATCCCTCCATTTGTTTAGGAACATAAATGTTCCCTGACTTCGCCCTGTGCCTTTCAGCATTATTTTATGGAAATTCCGATTTCCTGCACTGAAAGAAGCCCTGATGATAATGAGAGGCTTGAAGCGTTTCAAGCAACAACAACAACAAAAAAGCAGTTTGAGTCAATTCTGCGTTTTGTTCTTAATCAAAACTGGTTGTGTGCGTTTGCATCGACAATGAGCTGAGCACACAATGCTCCATATGGGCTTGGCTGCTGGCATTCTGTGAATGGCAGGAGCCACTGAAAGAGCTCCCTGGTTTTCAAAGATTTAGGGATGACCTTGTGAAAGTGTCATTTGTCACTGCCTTGTCCGGAATCACTAGAAAAATCCCTGGAAACAAGCTGTGGAATTGCAGAGCCCAATTCTCACAGGCCAGAGCAGCACAGCAGCACTTACTGACTGAGAAACAGCAGGAAATAAGAAACTGGAAGCCTTTAATGGAGCCCCAAAAGATTTTCTTTTCATGATTCTTTATCTGGATGTTGCTCTTCCACTTCAGATGTTACTCATTTTTCTGACACGTTATTATACCAAGTCCACCGTCAATAGGAATGCAAACAAGCTATGGTCCATTAACCTGGACACCTATTTGCAATTCTAAAGGGCCTGAAACACTTGGAAACAACCCACAAACTTTTACTGTTCCCCAGTTCAGGCCTGATCTCGCACAACCCCCCTGCACGGTGATTCCGGTCCAGTTGCACCCAGGAGGGGGGATCCACATCCGTGCCATTTTAGGACCAGCTCCCCATTTTTGAGCACATTAACAGCCCACAGAAGGGCTGTGGTGCACAGACTTTGCAGGTCTGTTCTGCAGAGCATGAACAATTAGGAGAAATAGGGACATTGAGTCCCACAGGCATCCCCAGACGTGCTGTCGTGAGTTGCTGGACAAGTTCTGCTCAGGAAGGATTGATTTCCACTCATTTTGGTCTTGTGGCTGTGAGAGGCTTGCGAAACCTTTCACCTTCTTTCCCCGGAGTCATATATATTTTATGAGAAATTTAAGAATTACCTCTTATTAAAATGGGGATAGTGTAATTACCAATAAAAAGCAGATGTTATGGCACGACTAATGCTCGAAAATGTGTGTGCAGCAAGCACAACGTGCCAGCACATCTAGGTTTTTCACTGAGATAATAAACATTGTCTTTGTTGAAACGAACTGGCCAAGTCTCAGAGGTCTGAAGTCGCAGGGAAATCGCTGTGGAAAATGCTGGAAGGTTCCACAAAAGGTCAGCTTGGCTCCCACTGATCCCAGCACCAAAATGTAACTCCAGAAGGCTGAAGGGGAGACTCCCCATCCCTGTCCACCTTGACCATGTCAGGAGGGGTCTGGAAAGGTGTCCTGTGAAAGCACCCTGACCCTCTGTGCTGAGAGCATCCTTCCCCTACAGGCTCTAATGAGCCATAATTAGTGAGGTCCCCAGCACCTCCAGCACCTCTCAAGGGTCCACAGCCCACCTGCAGCAGTCAAGATCCTTCCCTTGGATCCCTCCCAAGGATTTTGGCAAGGCGTGCCGGGAGCGATCCGCGTAGGCTGACTTTTGAAACAGGAACATGCAAACAGCATGGAAATGGAGTTCAACAAATCTGCTCAGGCAATCCCAGGGTTCACAAACTTCTGCTCAGCTCAAAACTTCCTCTCTCTTCCTTTCCTGAAAATTGCATTTGTTGCTCTCTACAATGAGCTGAAAGGAGGTTGTGGTGAGCTGAGGGTCGGCCTCTTCTCCCGGAGAACCAGAGATAGCACAGGGGGATACAGCCTTGAGTTGCACCAGGGGAGGTTCAGGTTGGACATTAGGAAAAACTTCCTCACTGAAAGAGTGGTTAAACATTGGAACAGGCTGCCCAGGGAAGTGTTCCAAAACCAAGTAGTCATGGCACTTTGACTGGGGATATTCAGTCGTTAAGTTGGACTTGATGATCTCAGAGGTATTTTCCAACCTTAACAATTCTATGACTCTGTTATTTTTTGGCATAAAAGAATCTTTAAAGACACACTCGGCTTGCAAAAGAGCCTTTGCAGCTCAGGAGGAGTGTTTGGATATTGGGATGTGGGTGTAAATCTGGGGACACAGGGAGGATCTGTGCCTTGGATGGGGGAGGCTGCCAGGGCAGCGGGAGCTGGAGGTGGGAGCTCAACAAGCAGGGGTGCAGGAGGGCATGCAGGGGGGGCCTGTGGGACTCAATGTCCCTATTTCTCCTAGTTGTTCATGCTCTGCAGAGCAGACCTGCAAAGTCTGTGCACCACAGCCCTTGTGGGTGCTGTTAATGTGCTCAAAAATGGGGAGCTGGTCCTAAAATGGCACGGATGTGGATCCCCCCTCCTGGGTGCAACTGGACCGGAATCACCGTGCAGGGGGGTTGTGTGAAATCAGGCCTGAACTGGGGAACAGTAAAAGTTTGTGGGTTGTTTCCAAGTGTTTCAGACCCTTTAGAATTGCAAATAGGTGTCCAGGAGGGCCTGGGACACCACAGCAGCCATGGGCTGGTGCTCAACCCTGCCTTCTCATCTTCAAATCCCAAGTTTTGGAGTCTTTGAGTTCTCCTCTGTCCCAAAGCCCATGCCCTGCCCAAAGCCCGGTGGTTCAGGGTGTGCTGGAGGCAGCAGAGACATCCCCATTTTTTCCTTAAGTCCCTCCCACCTTTCCTCTGCACACAAATGCCATATTTCAATTTATAGAGGTAAAAAAAAAAAAGTAAAGTCTCCAAATCCTCAGACTGTTGTTGGCCCTGTGGGAGTGTGAGCTCACTGGAGGAAGCTCCGGCCCTGGGCTGGGATGTGCTGCAGGCTGGGGGGGTTTGTTCATGCTGGTTTGTACCAGAATTAGCTCTGCCATTCTGAGGAATGAAACCAAGGCGTGTGCACGAGCAGCCTTGACAGCAATTAGTTCTGGCAGAATCTTTGTGGCAATGAATTTCAATGATGTTGGGGTTTTGGGTGCCTGAACACTTCATTAGCTGCTGGTCTATCACACTGATGCAGCTGAGAAATCACATTATAATAAACCACTTTTTACTGCAGGCAGCAACCAGGATAATAAATGGGATGAATAATAATACAGGCCATTCAAAACTGTTCCTGTGCTATAGAGCTCTGGAATTTCAGTAAATAGATCAAATAGTATGCAGGGATGAATCTTATTCTGAATTTCTCCATTACCCAGGTATTTATGAGCATATGTCAGAGGAGCTGCTTCAGTCTATTACACTTGCCAGTTAAACTCTGAAATACATACATGTTGAGGCAGCAATAAGAAAAATCATCTATGATTTAGCAAAAAAATATTTTAAGTCTAAATGGAGAAAAATAGATGATAACTATTTCAGTGTGAAATATCACTGTGTCTGTTTCTATATATTTACATTCTTTTTTTTAAAGTAGGGAAAGACATTATCTAGAAAATAACTTAAAAAGCACAACAATACATGAATTAAAAATACCTTAAAAGGTACAACTGAGGCATTCTCATGCTTTCTTCTGGGTTTATAAACCAGAAATGCATTATTATATGGGCAGATACTGGGAGAGCAACTCAGCATAAGCTGATAGTGATAGGACAGGGAGGAATGGTTTTAAACAAAAAATGGAGAGATTCAGATCAGATGTTAGGAAGAAATTCTTTAGTCAGAGGGCGGGGAGGCCCTGGCACAGGTTGTCCAGAGAAGCTGTGGCTGCCCCATCCCTGGAAGTGTCCAAGGCCAGGTTGGACGGGGCTTGGAGCAACCTGGGCTGGTGGAAGGTGTCCCTGCCCATGGCAGGGGGTGGAACTGGATGATATTTAAGTTCCCTTCCAACCCAAACCATTCTGTGATTCTAGGATTATATCACAGTAAAATGGAATGTTCCTTACCCCTGTCTTTGCAGGGTTTGGTATGAAAATGAGAAAATAAGCACGAATCTGATGCTGTTTCTGTTAAAATTTATCCTCTGGAATGTGTCACTTTGGCTGCTGGTTGCTTGGTTGGAAGTCCATCTGACAGGCTCTCCCTCACCAGTGAAGGAGGTGGAGGAAGGTGCTCTCTGCTGTACCAGGGCTGATCTCAGCAGTTCTTACCTCACTGGCAGGGATAAAAGCAAATGATGCTTCTTTAGATAGAAGCCAGGCCATCTGTGAGCATCCCAGTAAAGCCTGGATGGCCACAAGACTGTCCTGGGGAGCAGGAAAGGGTCAGCTCTGCCAGCAGGGAGCTGGGGGTGGGTGGGGTGTTCCCCCTTTGTGATGCTACCCCAGAACCCCATTCCCATGGCAGCCAGAGACATGGGATGATTCTCTCCCCTCTGGCTTTCCCTTCTTGGATTCTTCCTGAATATTTGGTAACTATAAAAATGTCTTTTCTTCTCACCCTGGTGAACAGGTGGGTGGCATTTATGTCACCCAATGTGGAGACTCAGGCCCATTTGAATGAGATATTTGTAAGATATCCTTTAAATGCAAAAAACCTCCTTAGAGACAGGGCTTCAGATAAGAAAAAAAGCAGAAGAAAATAAATGTGGATGGGGAATTAACAGCACCAGAGTGGCAAACAGCCAAGAGCAGATGAATTTTCTAGTACAAAAATATTCATGTGTGTTTATCTATAACAGCAAGATGACCTTTTCTTCCCCAGTGAAATAGTGTCTTATGGCAGTGATGATCTGATAAATTAGCCTTTCAAATAAAGACTGACATAAAAGTGGAGTTGAATTGAAATATCAATTTCAAACTCTTTCAGAGACCTGAATTGCATCTGCCTGTTTTTGTTGTGTGGAAAATCAAAAAGAATGTATCTGGAGGAGAGGAGGATTCTACAGGTTGGTGGGTTTTTTTCAGGCTTTACCCAAATTTTAATGTTCTTCCATTTCCAGAATGCTCACAAGCACTGCTGATCTACCAAGATTTTCAGGAGACCATAAATCACCCTAAATAGCCCAAGCCTGTGGGAGTTCCTTGTTTTTGGCCTGGAATCTGCCAAGGCAGCTCATGAAAGCTGATGTAAGTTAAACCTCAAATGAGGTACAAACACTGTCTCTGTGGGCCATGGTTTCATAGAGTGCCAAACTAGTAGGCTATGGAAAAGCAGGTAGCAGGGTGTGGAGACTTTGTTTTTCAAGCTTTATTCTTGCTGCTTTTCATCAACACAGAGAAAACATCAAACATCACATTTTTCTGGTGTGAACTGCCGAAGCCTGCTTGAGAGGAATTAACTTGGTATTTACATTTAATTAAAAACCCTACATGAGGAAACATTTTAAGACTGAAGAAGAAAGACAATGTGAAATCCTTGTGATCCTCAGGCTTCTGACTGGCCTCATTCTCCCCCAGCAGTGGCCGAGGTGCCAGGCCCTGGGTGTGCAGCAGAACAGATTAACATTGGTGGTTGATTTTGCTTGTGGCTCTTGCCCATTGACAGCATCATTTTATCATATTTAATTAAATACAAATTCATTTCAGGACCTTCCAGGAGGATAAAACCACATCCCTGTCACCCAGCCCAGGAGTCTCGGAGCACATCCTGCTGAACGCAGACAGTTCTGAAGACTTCAGTACCAACCTCCTGCTTTGCAATGAGCCATTCCCAGATTCCCTGGTGCTGGATCTTGCATACCTGCCCTACTACAGAACCTGTCACGTCTGTATCAGCCCATCTTCCCGCTCTGCATCATCACACACCCTCACAGACGCAGAAGAAAGCTCCGATGAAGGCAAGGCTGACACCAAGCAGGATGAGAAAGTGAGTTATTCAGCCACCTCCACAGGATATTTTCTGTACTGCAGAGCATATGAAGAGCTTCTGGGCCAACCACCCACACATGGATTAACTGTATGGTTAAATTGGGCTAAACACCTGCAAATTAGGGGAGGTGAACTCCCATTTAATGTTTCTCAAAGGGGTAGGAAGGGAGGAAGAGAAGCAGGCGCATCTCACACCACACTGTTCCTCAAAGTTAGGGCCTTAGGAACAAAGTGATGTCTTGTGCCCTGAAAACATGATGCAGGAGCAGAGCTATCTGCAAGGAGGAGATACCTAAGGCAGCCCTGGCAAGGTCCCTGTCCCTTGAAACAACCTGTGGACCCCAGACTCCTGCTGTGTGGGACACTGCTGCTCTGATGGGATCTGTCCCACTGCTGTCCCTGCTGTGTCCCCAGGGGCAGTGCAGTTCCCATCTCTTGAGCCCTTAGCTCTTGGTCCTGCACATATTTTTTTTCAGAGCATCCCACCAAGTCTGGAGTTGAGCAAGAGGACAATTTCTCCTCCAACCCACGGAAAGAAACCATCCCAGCAGCTCCCATCAGGAGCCAGCACCTCCGAACTCTGCCCGCCCTCCTCCCCCAGCAGGCTCCCACCCCTGAGCCAGCCCCTTCCCCGCAGCGGCTACTTCCCTTACTACAGGACAGAGGGAGAGATCTGCACTCGCCCAGCTCATGGAAAGGGGTCCTTCACTGGGACAGAGGGTCTGGAGACCAAGGAGGGAAGGCAGAGAGGAGGAGCAGGTATTTGGAGTCTTGGTGCCAGCTGCTTGGTGTGCTGAGAAGAAAGCAGGGGTGTTGTGAACAACATGAAAATCTGCATGAATATGAAATATGAGTATTCATGGATTGGATATGAAATAAAAATATTCATTCTCTATAACAAAGCAACAAGTGATAACCTAGACTGTGTAATGACAACAGAAAGAAGTAGAGCAGGAACTGACTGATCTGGGGAAATCCAAATAAATTTGCTCTAGAGGTGAGGAAGAGAAGTGTTTTGCTGTGGCTAATCCCAAAGGAGAGATGCTTACTCAAGGGATGTGCAGCTATGGGAAATGGCTAATGGGGAAAGAAAAAAAAGGAATTATTTAAATCTAAAGTGCTTGGAGGAATTAAGCAGAGACATAATTTCCAGTAGGGATTGGGAAATACATTTCCTTTCCTCCTCACTACAATCCTTCCATTGTTTTACTGGCATCTGTTAGACCTGGTTACTGTGCACAACAGCCATACACAGGAGAAAAAAAAAAAAAATTATTTAAATTCTCTGTCAATAAGATTTTTTGAACACATTTCCATTATGTCTGTCTTCATTTCACTTGCACAGTCAGTAATGAAAATCCTCCTGATTACTTTAATATGTGCAACTATGAGCTCCTATAAACATCAGTTTTGACTCTGGAAAACTGGGAAACAGCATCCAGAAACAATTTGGCTTTGGTGAATCTGGACTGATTTACACCAGATGAGGATTTGACCAAAAAGGTTTAGCTTGGTGTTTCCTTTGCAGTTGTGAAATCTTGCAACATCCTCTCCTTGTTGCCAACTATGTCACCTCTTTGAGATACCACACCAGTTGATGAAACACAGCCCTTTCCCATCCCTGTGCTGTGCACAGTCAATTCCTGCTCAAAACAGAGGAGTTTATTCCAACCATTTAGTAAATCTTGGAGTGCTTCTGTAGGGATGACACTGGTGTGATGGTGTATGGATAGGCTGGATCTAAATGTACCAGTGTCACCTATTTTCTCTTAAGGATCAAAGGAGCAAAACACAGCATTTTTAGTTATTTCACATCTCCATAGTTAGACCGGTTTTCCCTGTGCTGAGTGTGACACTGAGACCAGGAATCCTACAGCCATGCAAGGTACGTGATGGTTGGGATAATAATTTCTGCCCACACTGCACTTTTGTGGGTTTTGACCAGCTGGGAACGGATTTTTGGCTGGATGCTAAAAACCAGCAAAGCTCCCAGACTGGAGCTTTGATCCCAGTCTCTCTGGGACTGCTCAGGATGAAGTGGTGCTTCACCTCCAGGTTTTTAGAAAACCTGGGTTCAGCCAAACTGGTGAGAATTCATCCCAATGTCCACACACAGCTGTCCCAGCTGGAAATAGGAATGCCTTCTGCATCCCTGCATCCCCACAGCACCTCAGCATGATCCTGCCACCTTCCCACTGGAAAACAATCTGACTCTGGATGAAATAAGTCGGACTGTATGAAACAGCTTCTGGTTTTAAGCACAAAGAAAACTGATTGAAAGAAAGCCATGAAAAATACAGTGAGATTATCCAAACTCAAGGGAGCAGGCAGAGGAGGGAAGGAATTCTCTCTGAAAAGCAGGTGTGGTTTGTTCTGAGAATATTAAATTCAGCATTTCCATAAATTTGGCATATTAAAATAGCTTCAACTCTGGAGCATCAAATCCACAAATCTGCCTGACTTCTACTAGATAGAAAATAGCTGCTTTCTATTGGCTGTACTTGATAATTTATGGGAACAGTGAACATCAGAAATCAAGGATTTGGGAGATGAGTATTACAAGCTTTATGCTTATGGATCAGAGAAGTGTAATTTTAATCAAAAGCTGGCAAATATCGTATCATATGTTGCCATCTTGAAGTTGGAGCTGAACAAAATTCGTGATTTTAATATATTTTCCATGCAGAGGTAAAAAGGAAGGGATGGAGGGCAGTGTTGGAAGCTTCTGGGTTTCTCTCTAAGGCTTATGCTGCTTTATTGCTTTTCCACATAGTTAACATCCTGCACACAGGCAGCAAAGGATTTTTCTCGAGCTGCTCTGGGGATCAGGCTCTGCCTCAGTGAGGACATCACGTACCCTCCCTCCAAGAGAGGTCCCTGTCAGCCCGAAGTAACAAACAGTTTGGTTCAGCCTTGTGTACTGGTAATGCATTTCCTTTCATCTCTCCATTTGAAAAATCCATAATTATTGCTCTAAACCTTCAGTACTTCAATACCAGCAGCCCTCTGGAGTTTGAAAAACAATCTGCAATTACTTTGATGCCTGCTGTGTAGTCGTCATTGATCCCCTTTAAGCTTTTAATCTCATGAATTAACAAACCTAATTCATAAAACAAACCAAACAAACCACAGCAAAATATCCCCTTTAACAACAAAACTGGTGATGATTGGAGATGTCTTTGGGGACTTCTTATAACGCAGGTTCTCCTTTCTCAAGGGCTGACGTCAGATTTTGTTTGGAAAGGGGGGAAAGGATTTAGTCACACTGTTTGGTAATCTGTGTACCCCTAAGGAAAAATCTGCTTCAAAGTAAACAAAAAGACTCACAGAGACATGGCAGGGCATAGAATTTATCTCTGAAATCGCACAGAAGATACTTTCTTTAGCAAAGCACTTCAGGCCTTAAGATCTAGACCCAGATATTCCTAAAATCAATAAGAAACCTCCCTCAGCCTCAGCAAGGTGGATCTTGGGGCTCCAATCTCCCTATCTGGGATAGAGCAGCAGGCTGAAATACTCCTTTTATAAACCTGAACCCCAGAAAATGCTGCTTTAGGGAGAAAACAAGCTCCCCAAAGTTTAAATGTATTGGAGTGCCCCCTGCCCGAAGGACTGTGGTGGCTGAGCTCTCCTTTCTCTCCTAAATCCTCATTGCGTCAATGTATTAATTAATAACTTTACTTTGAACTCCTAGAAACTAGAAATTAAGCTTTTGGCAAGCGGAATTTATCTCAGAGCAGCAGAACTCAGCATTAAACAAAGAAGCTTAAACAGGTCCCTGCCCAGCAACGTGATGGGGAGGAATGGAAGTGAGTCATTAACATGAAACCACCTGGCTTCCTTTCAGAGCTGTATTTATGGACAGTGATTAGAGAACACCTTGAATATAAACCTCCATGCAAATATCAGCACACACACATCCCTGGGTGAGGGGGGAACCACACGGCTCTCCTGCTGGGACAGCCTAATCCAAGATTCTGGGGTTTGCCAGTGCAATTTAGGAACCACATCAGGGATGAGGGACCACGTTCTGCAGAGCAGGGAGAGGGTGAAGGTAGTGCCTGAGGGCTGTGCTGAATGCTAATCATGAGCAGGAACACATGGAAATGCAAAGGAATGAAGAAGCAAGGGATGGAAGCTCCAGGGATCCACAGGGAAGCTGGTGCAGCAGGAGGAAAGCAGCTGTGCTTCTGCCACACCTGGACCCTGGAAGGGATCTGATTAGTCTGTCCTGACACACAGAAATATATCTGGGTCTACCTGGAGCTGTATCCTGATGAGTGTGTTTGGACCCCAAGTGAGGCACCTGCCCAGAACAAATGTTCCCCAAAACACGAACAAAAGGGCTGGGCTGGACGAAGGCACAGGCTGGACTCGTGTGCAATCCTTTCTTGGATACAGGTGGGAAGGGATGATGAAAAAGAAACAGCCCACTGACCTCTGTAATCCCCCATAAATCCATCTGTCCCCACCCCAGTGCTACCAGTTCTCATTAACTCCCTCCAGGTTCCCAGCCTGCTGGGGACACTTTTGCCTTTCCCAGGAAGGTGAGTGATGGGATTTGCAGGTGTGGGCAAGGCAGAGATGCCAGCACCTGATCCAAGTTATGCAGTCTTTGACTTCTGCAGCAATCATTAGTCTCACACATGGAAAAATGCATGTGCTGTGTGTTTTAGTTAGCAGCCTTTTATCAAGGCCGGTGTCCTTGGGCTGGTTCCTGCTACTGGTAGGTGTAAAGAGGGAAATGCATTCCCCAGGACAGCTGTACATCAGGATCACCTGAGCTGTGCACTCCTCCAGAATCATGTTTGAAATGCACACACTGTGCAGGGGAATGGCTGTGCTTCTGCTTTTCTGAGCACCTACCTCTGTCCACGAGGGAGAACTTCTGTACTGGGAGGGTGACTGAGCACTGGAACAGGCTGCCCAGAGAGGCTGTGGAGTCTCCTGGAAATACCCAAAAGCCTCCTGGACACAGTCCTGAGTAATCTAGGAGATCCTGCTTGAGCAGGGAGGTTGGACTAGATGAGTTCCAGTGGTGCCTTCAAACCTGAACCATTCTGTGATTCCTGTGCTTTGGTCACTGCACTGGGCATGGAACCTGCACCACCATCCCCTGCACTCTGGGGGGAAACTGGGGCACCTTCTCCTGGTATTGGCTGAGAAAAAGATAATGCCAAAGCCTAGGGTGGCACATGGCTGCTTCTGCTGCAATTGCACCAAGGAATAAGCACACTCCATGATGGTTTGTAGTGAGCAAAGTTAACAAAGGCAAGCAAATAAAATGGAAATTCTTGTTGGAGCAAGATCGGAGGGAAAATGGTGACAGGAGCAGTGCAAAGGGAGCGTGGTGGAGAGCGAGGAGTTAAGGTTGCCTGGCTGACCAGAGCTGTGAAAAGAGACACCAACCTGCCTGGGAGGAGGCAGTGGCCTCTTTCCCACTCCAAAGCTCTGCAATGGCTGAGACATCAAAACCCCAACACAATATAAACCTGAACAATGGGGTCTGACAGCTGCAGAGTGTTTGAACAACGCCTCAGAAGGGGAAGCTTGTGAAATCCTCTATATCCCACTGGAGCATGGGAGCTGCAGCTTTTCCTGGTTTCTGTGGCTGTATTTTCCCTGGACAGCAGAGTTCCTGACAGTGTGGGGTGAGATGGGTCCTGTCAGCATGGGGAAGCAGAGGGAATCACCCAGCAATACCAGGCCAGCAGCTGCACCTCCACTTCCTTAAACCAGAGACTGTGCCCCTGCTCCTCCCTGGTCCCATCACATCCTTCCGGGGACCCGACACACAGCCACCAAGCTTTGGATTTGCTCCCTAAATATGTCCCTCTGGCAGCAGTGTGCTGACTGCTACCTTTGAAGAGCTCATTCTCTCGTGGCACCCTCACAAATGGGT